ATTTAACCTTAAATCTGTAATCTTAAAACATATTTTTCTCTGTGTTGTGTAGCTAGGGTTGTCCAAAGTAACAACATTTGGTACTTTGTTCGAGCTTGGTACTTGAAGTTGATTGAAAACTAACTGTATCTTTGTGTGTTTGTTTGTTGAAATAACATAATACGAGTTACGCTATCAGAGTCGAGTGTGCATCTGTACGTAATTCTAGTTATTAATACGGATTAGTGGCTTAGTTAATTAAAATGTGACATCGTTAGGAATATTCGTTTACTTATTTTAGCTTTCGTATAATTGCTTTTTAGATGGCTGCTTTTTACGTACTGTACCTAAATTTTGACTGCACTGCTGGTGTGGTGGCTGGGCAACTGACTACCGCGCCAACTGTGCGCCGTAATTAAATTATTTTAGTTGCCTATTATAATTTTGTCAAACAAACAATCAGGATTGAAGTACTAATTTGCAAAAAAACCTTCCCACAGCCATCATCCTAAATACGTAAGTACCATACCTACTTAACACTAAATTAAACACTTAAAAATCAGAACCAAAATGATCCCACAAAAATATTACCAAAAAAAAGATTCACACGTTAACAATGACAAAATTAACCCTATCATCGCTCATGGCTTTTTAAATACTGTGTAATCGTTAATGTTTATCCCACTTGAGACCGAGCGTGTCATATTTAGTGGCAAAAAGTACCACCTAGTAGAAAAGAACTCAAGTGTCATTTTAGGACATTATAGATTACAAATATTTCGCATGACAAAAAATGTGTGAGAATTGGAAGTTCACACGAGTATTTCGACCTATTTTTGTCATGTATAAATAAGATCCTTTGAAGAGGTAAAATTATACTATTTTATTTGTTATTTCGTTAAGGGTCTGATGCTTTATGAACGAAAATATTCTAGCAAATACTGAGTATCTACATAACGAAAAAGATTGTTTTGAATCCAGTGAAGCAGTTACCACATCAAATAAGCCACTTAGTTGTGCGAAAATGTATCAAAGAAACTCTATGAATAAAGGGACTTAACGCCTGTCTCACATAAGACAAGTCATGGTACGTACACCTACTTGTACTTCTTCACATTTATCACGTTTTGTTTTAACTATAGTGAGACGTACTTAATGAACTAAAAGTAATGATAATTATACTCATGTAAATATTTTATATAATATACTAAGAAAAGCTCTACTAGTTTCGAGTCACAGAGGGGCTTTTCCTCATGCGTAGTATGCACGGTCACAGCGTCGCGGAATCGTTAGTTTTAATTTTCATCAATATCTTAACAAATTCTCTTGGGATATTGTCAATTTTGACCCTTAACAAAATTTGCTGATATTTAACCAGCAAGCAATCTAATAACGGTATGTTAACACTAAACAGGCGTGTAATAGTGGCACGCGTCTTGCGCGACAGTTGGCAAGTGTGACGTCACGCCCGACACGTGGCACGCACGCGCACTCAAGTATGACCTATCAACTGCTATGATACACAGATTGAGTACTATTAGGTACTTTATTTGAGTAACATGGATATGGTATTGATAAAATACATAGTTACTTCATTTAAAGAACGAAATTGTACTTAGAAAATTTAACAATCGAGAATTCTTACTTGGGAAGTAAACATTCTTAATCAGTGTCTGATCTCTTACTTTCTCTATGTTATAGAGAGCTTCTACTAAAGTAATACATGGTATTAGGTCGCTAAGTATGTTATTTAAAGTACTGTATAATAGGTTTTAATACGTAGAGTTAGAAGTTAGTAAGTAACTCCGTGGAAAAGAGGGTTGCAATTTAAGTAATTATTCCCATCCCTTAATGTGTATTAAATAAAAATCTTTACTAATTAATTATAAATATTTATTCAGAAAACAAACATATCACCATAAAATATGCATCAATTACACTTTCACACCCACAACACGTGTCTTACAAGTGTAGAAGCGTGTCGGTCGCGTGCCACAGACTGCTATCATAAACTGTTCATAATTCCGCCACTAGAAATACGATCGGTATAATTGACCAAGTGTCTCAATTTTTTATTGTTTATTCAGTAGCTGCTGTCACTGGGTTAAATATAGGTACTGTTGTTTATGATTTTAGTTACGTGAAATAATTTTGATTTATGATTGTTATATAAATGAAAAGCTGAAATTACAGTAAGAAAACATTATAAACATAAAGAAAGAAGAAAGAAAAAGCATTTATTTGGCAAATGGCACACAAACAAAGATTATGAAAAATAAAAAATACAGATACTTACATAAATACATAATATTAATAGCAAACATAAAAGCGTAAAGAAAATAACAAAAATCATCAAAATATAAGAAAATAAGAAAGAATATTTAAGAAAACATCATTTAATTATAGCTTAAAATAAGTATACTATGGTTATTATTCAATTCGCACAACAAATATCTAGTACTATAACACGTCGGTATAAAACAAAGAAAAAGCAACTGAGATACAACACAATTCAAAATATCCTTAAAATACATTAAGGATACAATCTCCCTTAAGTTATTAAAGGAACAGAAGTATACATCTAACAAGCGTTAAATGAGTACAAATAAATAACCATTAAATAAAGTCTGTGGTTCGACTCCTACGCATGTCGAATTTGCCAATAACACGCCGATGTCACGGCTGTCACTGCTTAATTTGAAGCTACTGACTTGGAATTAAAGAGGAATTTATGTTAAATTATATTCATATAGTCAACGATAATTAATGTTTAATATGGTAAAAGTAATTTTAATTTTCATAAGAGAGAGTGGGAAAGGCAGTGTTTCCATTGGTAATCAAGATAGTGAAAGACAACCAACATCTACCCTAATAGGGAATTTTTCTATCATTTATAGTAGGTACAGTCGTGGCAAATCCTGCTTTTCACTTATACCATTAAATTTAGTTTTTGAAATTTATTACGCTCACGAGTAAAAACCCTAGTGTAGCTTTAAAATATTGAGAAATTATACATTGAAATACAAAGTAATTACATTTTTTTACCACCATAGAGAATCTGAATCCATCCACTATATCCACCCAAAGGTTGTCTGGTAGAAAACACTATAAGTGATAAGACCGCCATTGTGCCCATTATTATTTTTCTTTATGTTTGTCATTTCCTTTTCTGTATGTACTATATTATTAATGGTGTACAATAAAGTTATATTGTATTCTATTCTGAAACATCAATCTTATTTCCTAGATCTTCTACTATTATTACTATAAGCGCCAAGTAATCCGTGCACAGAGCAATCTGACCGATTGTCGCGGTGTCAAACCGTTTACCCTTATCGCTTATAGCCAACACCATGGTACACGAACAACGCCACAAGGCCCATCTGTCACACTGCATCGATGCACCACGAACAATAGCAACCATTCATACAACAAACTTTTTATCGAAAAAATGGATTTTGGGTCAAAAAATTGTGTATCGGAAATTCGGTTGTAAGTACCAGGGGAAGGGAGTTTATCGTAAAATTAATTTTCGGATTACAATCACGCTTTTTGTTGAGTGAAAAATGAGTTTATTGATTGATTTGTATTTATAAAAAATATTTTAAGACGTTTCTAAGCTCGCATATTTGGAACATTCAATGAAATTTTAAGTACAGGATATTCAAGTTACATGTGAATATTCTCATCTTTTCTTTCCTTCCTCGATAATTTTCTTTCTTACAAACCGAAATAATTATTGGCAGTTTCTGTAGCAATTTATGAGCATCGTAAACCATTTTATAAGAAAGAAATTTATTTTCATAGTAGAAGTAAAATTAACTATCAACATAGCTAAGATCTCCCAAAACTCCATTTAAAACTTAGACAATTACTTATACCCTATACCGAACAACGTATCACAAAACTGGTAGTAAATCTCGAATAAAATAAAGTCAACTAAAACTATTGTAGGAGCGGCACCTGGCCCTACAGCCCTGGTACCGTGGTCCATTGTGTTGCACCCTCGCGCACACCGCGTGGGGCAGCCCTTAAGATTTAATTACCGACCTTTATGGTTACCGCTACTGTTTACTTTTATTATATAGCTTTGTTTGACGAGTAAAATTCTATGTATGTAAGTATAGAGTTTAGATCAATAATGTGGCCGGTGTTCAGTAAACTTATGCTAAAGCGTAGTTTGAAAGATATCCTCTGTACTTGTGTAGTCTATACCTTATAATGGAGCCTAAAGTTGTGCTGTTTGTCCTTTGTTCTTTGGTAGGCAGAAATAACAGAACGTCACCGTCACAAGACTAATTTAAAACTCCATCTCTAGGTTCCATCACATTCATGCATCTTACCTTGTAATTAAGTATTTAGAATCGTGTTAGTTTGTTACGTACCTAATTTCTTAAGCAGGACTTGCCTAATATTTCTAGAGCGCTTTATGTTGAAACACTAACTGCTGCACGTAGTAATTATAAGGTAGTTTCAAGTCGCTCCCACTTTCCAACATACGTACGTACATAGATAGACGCATATATGGATTTGTCACTAAACATCGAATGGTCAGAAGAGGCATATTATTATAATAAAGACACATATAGACTTGACGTGTCACACAATACCTCTCTCTCCTTTATCTATTGCTCTCATGTGTAGGTAAGTCACGCATCGCGTTGGAGCTTTCAAGTTGAAATCCGCTTCAAGAACTCGTATTTTAAATTTTCAAAAATTAGTTTCGCTTTTCCATCTAACATCTCGAGTAAAATATTGTCACTTTCCATTACACATGCTGTTTCCAACTCACCCACTTATATAGTGCTTACTGACATAGAAATCCAAGGTGACAGCTAAGGTAAATTTTCCATAACCTACGCGCACAGATTTCAGTTAAGTCCTATTAATAAAATTTGTCTGAATATTAATGAACTGGCTCCAGGTATAAAAGCTAGGAATTACTGAATATCAGCACATTCGAACCACACTCGTGGAACAGCATACATCATTCAATAAACTACAGCTTTTATTATCTCAAGATGAAGTTTGCTTTGGTCCTTCTGGTCGCAGTGGCTTGCTTCTGGTGCTGTGAGGCGCAGAGTGCTAACTTCTACTGTGGCCGTCGACTTGCTGAGGTGCTGTCCAAGTTATGCTGGGATCATTCGGAAGAGAAGCGTGATGCTGGGTGGTGGATGTCTGCGGACGCGGCTCGGTCATTGAGCGGGGTTCGCGGCAAACGTGGTCCTGTCGACGAGTGCTGCGACAAGCCCTGCACCGTGGACGAACTACTTGGCTACTGCTTCTATTAAGGTTACATGAGAGCACTTGACTGATTGTTAAATAGTGAATTAGATTCCAGCATGTTGGATTGTTTTTGATGTAGATAAATAAATTTTACAGGTTACCCGATTTTATGTTTAATTTTATCGCATTATTATCCTTTCAATTTTCCTTTCAAGAGTAATGTACTAAATACACACAAATATAAGTATAGTGTATGTATATGACCCAGATCTTATCTTCAGAAATAAAATATAAAACTCACAATTACACCTACTGCTTAGTATGTAATTATCAATTAATGTAAATGGTAACAAAATCTGCAGTACATCTATCATCCCCAAAATCCCCGAGGAATGATCATGAATATCAAACGGGCATCGCATAGTCCCCAGTTATCTGATCCGGATTAAACCGGTAAAAAACAGTCATTATTCCGCCTCCGTGGACCAAATGGGATTTTTTATTTGAACCACACCTCGGGCTATTGTACGTGGATTGTCATTGGACTAGAAAATTTTATTGTTTTTTTTATTTTATACTTTTACATTTTTTGCGCTAAAAAATGTATTTTCTAATCTATCATGGTCACAGGAAAGGTATATTTTTTATATTTTAGAATATTTCTGTATGGGGGGTCATTGAGCTATGGAGGGGGGGGGGCTCCATTGCTCAATGACGCGCAATAGAAGGGACTACAATAAAAAACGTCGTGTAGCTGATGATTATGATAAGATAGGATTTTTTTACTTTTTTTGCTTAGCCTAATACAATACGAAAATTACTTTGATGAAGCTATCAGATCGATATAAACAATAACTTTTTAATTGCAAAGCTTACATTTAAAAGAAGAGTTCATTAAATAGTTAAACTAGGCCGGTAACGCACTTATCAATCCTCTAGTCTAGACTCCCAGGTGTTCATTGGCGGCGACGAATGCTTACCATCAGGCGATCCGTCAGCTCGTTTACTGGCTTATCCCATAAAAAGTACGTAAATTTTAAGTGTGGGAGAGCCATGCTTCTGCATGAATGGGCCGGCTCGACCGGAGTGATACCACGGCCTCACAGAAAACCGACGTGAAGCAAGGCTTGCGTTGTATTTCGTCGCGTGAGTGAGGTTACCGGAGGCCCAATTACCCTCCCCTTCCCCAATTCCTGAATCCCCAACGATCCTCAAACTCCTGATCCCCAAAAGGCTGGTAACGCACTGGTAACTCTGGCCTCTGGTGTTCCAGGTGTCAATGGGCGACGCCGGTTGCTTACCATCAGGTGATCCGTCTGCTCGTTTACCGGCTTATGCCATTAAAAAAAATCAAACTCAAAACCAATGGCAATGCAGTGGCACCATCACCTAACCATACAATAAACAACATACAGTGTTGTACACTGAATAAGTATCCTACATACTAGTACTTGCAATAAAACGTTTTGCAGTCGGCAATATAAATCCCTAAAATGCCCCATAGGTCCCTCTTTTAAGATGATATCTCAGCACATTAGCGTTAATCCCAAAGATAAAGATCGGGTTTCACAATACTATCGCATGTTTCATCTACCCCTTGTCATAGTTGACAGTTATTTGTCAAAGTTTGCCAGAGACAGGGATACAGTTTTTTTTGCTGTCAATATTTGTGTTCTTGTTATTAAAGAGGTTTGTACAATTGTTTGTTTTTAAAATGACATAAAAGGACGTTGAAATAGGCATACATACAGAACTTCACGCCTGTCTCCCATACTATGGAATGCCAGTTGCTACAATAGGGTAGATCACTACTTTTTATTTTAATGTCCGTCTGGTAGATTATTTTAAAACATCACACACGTATATTGGTTTTACAGAATGGAATACTTTCGATGAAATATTGAATTGAAATGTCGCGTGACGTCACATTTTATGCGTAGAAATGACGTTTTAGCCCCCACTCCTAAACTTTGATTTGTTATATCTAAGTATAATTTTATTATACAACAAAATTAAAAATACGTATTTAATATTTTTTCTTTACCTAACTGACGGACTAATTAGATTTTTAATTTTCATACCCTGTCATTATCCCTATGCTTGCACAACGACTTTGAAAAAAGGCGGGCATAGTCTCTTGAAACAACGACTGTGGCACCTGGCTACTATAGACTTACACGCACACTACACACATATTGACATAAAGATCATCTGTCGCATGACATGGCCCGTCATTACAATTCATACATGCATGTTGCAAGTACATGCACACATGAACCACTACACCATTTTGATGCTTCAATCATTTGTAAGTGACTACGTTTTTTTTTCAACGTCCATGTTCTTACATTCCTCTTTCGGCATCAGCAGTTATCAGTCTTAAATAATAATGGATTTTGTTAAAACGTTAGTGTGATCTTGTTGTTTGTATATTAACCTTTATTTCTCATATAACATCATCATCACGCCTTTTATCCCCGAAGGGGTAGGCAGAGGTGCACATTATGCCACTGTACAATGTAACACCCACTATTCACTATTTTTGTTATGAGTCCCATGTAATAGGGGGTGAGCCTATTGCCATATACCGGGCACAATTCCAGACTCCGTGCTACAACTCAGAATTTTTTTAAAACTCAGTAATACTTTGCCCGACCCGGGAATCGAACCCGAGACCCCTTGCCCGGCAGTCGCACTTGCGACCATTCGGCCAACAAGGCACTTTATTTCTCCTGTAAGTTAATATTAGTAAATACTACATTTATTTGAGTACTCCAATGTGCTTGAACAACCAGATGCATGAACGTAATGGAAGATAAGGAAGTATGTAAGGATCGTACCAATCTCTACTTTCTGGCTGTCCTCACGGGCCACGGGAGTGATTTTATTAGAATACCTACTAAAACTGCAAACTAATATTCATCTTGAAACAGATTTATGGTAGAAGTGAACCAAATTTGATGAAAGAAAACTACGAAAATCAGGCAATCTCTGACAATATATTTATTTACATAAAATACAATAATATAATTCAATTATCTGGCACCTAGTTCATTAATAACAATAAGTCGAGTGTTGTTAACGTCTTAATAAATATAACAGTAGGTAAGAAGTTCATCCAAAGTGCAAGGTTTAAAACAGCACTCATCAACAAGACCACGTTTGCCGCGAACCCCGCTTAGTGACCGAACTTCATCCGTTGACAGCCACCACCCGGCACCACGCTTCCCTTCTACATGTTTCTGGCACACTCGGAACACTTGCTCAGAAAGTATACTGCCACAGTAGAAATTAGCACCACTCTGCGCCTCACAGCACCAGAAGCAAGCCACTGCGACCAGAAGGACCAAAGCAAACTTCATCTTGAGATAATAAAAGCTTTGGTTTATTGAATGATGTATGCTGTTCCACGAGTGTGGTCCGAATGTGCTGATATTCAGTAATTCCTCGCTTTTATACCTGGAGCCAGTTCATTAATATTCAGAGAAATTTTATTAATAGGACCTGACCACTGTTACCAACCCTACTGTTTTAACAGTAGATTTGCTGTTTTTGCTTTGATGTCCATGTTTTCTGTTTCATTCTTATTTTCTACTGTTTTCTTTCTACCAAAACAAAATTCCCTATACTATCGATTTTCGAAACATGGCCAAGAATTAAAGAATGGAGGAGACTCTCAAACGTTCCTTGCGTTGTGTGAATTACATAGTAAAAAAGCTTTTGTGCCTACCACAGTAGGACCACATAGCAGCGCCGTCATAGAAAGGTTATTTTCTGCTATAAATATTACGAAAACCAAATTACCTACGTATCAGAACATCGACTACAACTATTAAAGGACAAAATCCGAAATAACCGATTGCTATACATTTGAATGTGAGTTCTAGTCACTTAAACAATTAGGTATTCAGTACTTAATTATATTACCAAAAATATGAAATGAGCGCTTTTTTCTTTACCTACTGCTTTCTACTGTTTTTTTTTAAGTGAGTTGTTGTTTTTTTGTATTTTGGGGTTGGCAACACTGGACCTGACTGCAGTTTGTGCGCATAAATTATGGAAAATTTACCTCAGCTGCCACTTTAGCTTTCCATGTCATTAAGCATAGGTATTATTCGCTTATCGCAACTAAGTGAATCGGAAACAATGTATAATAGGAACAGACAATTTTTACCCAAGATGTGGATAAAGCAAAATGCATTTCGTGTGTCTGAAAACTCAATTTGACTATTTACGATGAAGATAATAAGCGTCTTATTAAATAGCAGATATACGCAGAAAAATACGCCAAAATGTCCTCCATATTCTATGTTTTATTCTTAATACTTATTATTTCGCTCAATTGAACTATCCTACTACTAAAACATCGAACAACGAAAACTAGAAAAAACTCGATCCTTATTCGCATGGAGCGAGACAAATCGATAACCACACTCCTCTTTTATTTACACATTGCAACAATAACATGCAATTATATATTCAAAATAATGTTAACACTTGACAATGGTTTACATTTGAATGTAAAGGATTAACACGCGGTCGACTGTGACACGGTCACTTGTTAAAAAAGACAATAATTTGATTTATTTTCGTCACGGATTAAGATCGCTGGGGTTAGTTTAACATTTGATTTTAGATTAATGTTAATTAGCGTAACCAAGGTCTAAAAATATGGTCCTTTTGGAAACATTATGTAAGGATATATTTTCATGTTCATAAGTAGTATTAGTATCAGTCATCCCTTTTGTCCAAGAGTTAGGAAAAGCTTTAGTTATTTATCTACTCACAACTTATACTACGATACTATTGACTATAATATCAGAGCCAAAATATCTAATCAATTCATAAAAATTCGTGCATTCTAAGAAATGAATAGATATACCGAACTTATCTTAACTAATATTTAAGTACAGAAATGCAAATGAACTTACAACGTCCACATAAGAGGGGTGAACACGAACCTCCCCGCCCAATGCACCCCATCCCTTATGCAGTAATAGCACCCAACCCTTATCTTAGTGCCCTACTTGTGACGTACTTGCCACCCTCGATTTTAAATGCTGGT